AAAATTTATTTAACATGTATTTTTTATATTAATTTTTCATTTCAGATGTGAGTTAAACGTATGGATATAAATATATTTACGTCTTTAAAAAAAATAATAATATATATATATATATATATAAATTAAGAAGATTTATCTACAAAAATTACATTTATTATTAAAACTTATTATTTTTCTATGCAATAACAATGTACCATACCAACTCTATAAATGAATGAAATAAAAAATAAATACAAAATACAAAATCATAAAAAATATATAATTATTTAACTTTAAGTATTAAAATTTGATCTTGTGTATATTATGTTTTCGTATATATATATATATATATATATATATATATATATATATATATATATATATATATATATATATATAAGTGTGTGAGTGACTCTAATTTTATAATATACAAATCGTTACAATATTCATCTACTCAAAATTCATATGATCAAATAAATAAATCAGTTTTTTTATTCATTAATTGTTTGAATAATAAACTTTTAATTAATTTGGTTTTTCTTATGTATTTATCATGAAATTCATTTATTGTTAAATTTAATTTAATTAATATATTCTATTTATTAAATGAAATATTCAATTAACAGTATTTAATTATATTTTAAAATGCTACTTAATAACAACAAGTTTTACATTAATATATAATCAACAGCAAAAATTATATATTTATTAAATATGTTTAAGATCATTAAATTTTATTAGATACAACGGTTATAATAAAGTTTTTATTTATCATATATATATATATATATATATATATATTACTTATATTTTTAATATTATTGCATTGTAGTTTTCGAATGTTACTATTTTTTTCCTTATTATAAGTAAATTTAATGAAAACATAACAATAATAATAATAATTATTATTATTATCATCATATTATTACTAGTTATTACTCTTAAAATATTTTATATTTATTATGAATTTTGGATAGTTAGTATATTTTTTTTATGATGTGAAATTGATAAATATTAAGACTTACAATGTTGTATAATTGACCGTTATGAACATCATCTTCTTCATCTACTACTGCTATTATTACTATTATTGTTATTATTATTATTATTATTATTATTATTATTGAAAATATAAAATAGAGAATTGTAGAAACTATAAATAACAATTACCAAAGGAAAATATAGGCACAAATGGAACTAACTTAACTGTATCATTATTGGGCATGTCCAAAATAGTTCGTAGACCAAAATAAGAACACGGCCCAAAATCAATTCACTTTTGCCCAAGAGCCCAAACAACCCTATTTTTTTTTTTTTTTGTTTCTGGTCTTTCCTTTCTCTGTAGTTTTGATTATTTTTCCCTGAGCAACAAAATATGATGTATTTTTTTTTTCTTTTTCAGAATTCTCTAGGAAGAATATTTGGAATTATAAAACAAATTGTTTAGTAAGGGAAAAATAATTTACGGTGTGGCAAATATTTCTTTAAATACATGTCTAATGTTGATTTTTTGTTTTTCACTTAAAATTTCTACTGTGCTTATTATCAAAGTATTATATTCTTTATATTATTTTATTTTTATCTTATTTCACAATTATTTTTTTCGTTTAAAAAAGTATTTAGAAATATTTGATAAAAATAATATTATTTATGTCGGTAGACTCATTATTTAAGAATCTAATTTAAAGATAGTGTATTAATATTATTTTCTATATCACTAAAATATTTTGAATAAAAAAAAATCCATTATTTTTAGAGGAAAGATAGGTTATACTATTTTTTTTTTCCTTTAATTTTGTTTCTGATCTCCTATGCATATTTTTCTTTGATGCAACCAGCTGATAGTAGACCCTGCAAGCTGAGATGACTACAAGAATAAAGTAATAAGACGAAAGAGGCTGAGACCATGTGAAGAAATGGTGAAGGAGAAGGACAAGTGAAAGGTAAACATGCATGGCATCCCATGTGTGCCTCTGTTGAATGTCTCTCTCGTGAAGATACATAGGGAAAGTGTCCTAATCCTTCTTTGTTTCATACAACCTTGGCACTGTGCGGTGCAGACATGGATGGACCTTCAATGTGCTCCACCAACATAAATTGATTGGTTCATTGAACCAAAATTTGGAATGTCCATAAACTATACCTGTGTACTTTGCTCTCTCAGAAATGAAGGTACCCTTTACGAGTTTTAGTAAAAAGTCTCAGATTTGACAGCACCCGTTTTTCCAATGATGTTGTACCACTGAAATGTACTAGCTAAGTAGTCCATTTTTTTGTTAACTATGTTTTGTTTTGAGTAGGGTTCCTTCCCTTTACCATCGCGTATTTCAGAACAAACCACTTTATTTTGCATAGCATCTTAGGTTAATTAAGACAGGATTATGACTTTGGTTTATGATATCCCTGCTAGACACAACATTGAAGAGATTATTCAACTAATGTGAATTATTGGTTTTCATAGTCATGTCACTAGGCTTATCAAATTTGTGCTTTGAAACGTTGTGGGGGACAAAATCAATCACCAGATAGATAAATAATCATTAAGCATGGGGATAAAATAGTGGAATTCACTGTGCTTCTCAACCATTCAAAGAATTAAACTCAGAAAAGTTAAAACAACAAACAGAGTAGTATAAAATGATGAAGGGAATTTTTTGTGATTGTAATAGCAGTTGTTTTCACCCCCATAAACATTTTTAACATGCAGAAAGATCTCACTGAGAACATTGAACCAGTTTGGTTTACCAAAAATTAATAAAGTGCGTGATGTTCATCCAAATATGCAAGGACAAAATGAAGTAGAAGCAAATCTCATTATAGCAAGAAAATGTGCACTTTATTGTAATGTATGACGACCAGCTAGATACAATGTTTGACTTAAGCATGATTGCATGAGCAGTTGGGACATAAGGGTCCGCAATGTTGGGCACAACATGGTCCTGATGGTAAGCATGGTGGACACTTCCCCTGCACATAATTAAAGTTGTTAGCTGAACAACCAGAACATTTCCAAAGTTATAGACAAAGTTCCAATTCATTCATTTTTTTTTATTTGAGAGAAAAGAGAAGAAATGGGAGAGACATATATGTGTTTGTTTGCAGTATTTTATCACTAAGAAATTTTGTTCTCACTCTAGACTTGATATTTCAATTTTTTAATATCTGCGGTCTGAAAAAGAGTAAGCAATGTAATGCAACAAACAATCTGTCGATGTTTTTCTAAAGTGATGGAGATCCTTTATGCATGCATAGTATAAAAATTACAAGTGGTATCTACTTAATTGATCGTTAAAGTATTGCAACTAGTGACTTTAGAATTAAAATGCGACATAGTCTTTGCTGAAGATACGTTTAAGAAAAAGTTATGATTGTGGTTGAATTAGTAAGTGGCATGGCTGAAAGAAGAAAATGTCTGTGTTGCAGAATTGATGGTTTTAACTTCAACGTTTGGTGGAGAAGATATTAAAATGACAAAGGAAATATAATCAAACGCTTAAAACTAGATGGGGTTGATTACGTGGATTGTAAATGAACAAGGTTTGTGAGTGTGCGAAAATCGAGGATGAAAACAAGATACTTCAAAAGACAACAGAAAAGATCATGTGGTCTGTTATGAACTAGAAAAAACGCGTTAAGAAACAGGACTGACCAAGGGTGTTTTGTTTCACATGGTCAGCATTTCATTTGTGGCAAACTGACAATCACATATCTTTTGAATCTCAATCTTTTCATTGGTCTGTAACATGATGGGAGTAATTATTACAACCCCACACAATATCTGCAAGCACAAACAATTGAAGTGTATGAAAAAGTAAAATTTGTGTCAAATTTATTTTAATATGATCACTTGTTTGTGATTCATTATAATCACACAAGAAAATCTCATGCAAAATTTCACTATTATGAAATTGGCATTTTCTTTTGTCTTTAACTGGGGTAAAACTTTATCTCGTTACACTTTTATGTAGAAATTGAGAAAGAAATGTTTATTATGATTGTTGTCAAAGAAGTGATATTTCATCATGATCCCTGCGGATTGGCATAGTTGGTCATAATTGGCAGTATCTGTCTGTACATTCCTTGGATGCAACACAGAGATTGACTTTTTGTTTGGGCAATAAACATTGCGTGATCATTTTTTCAAATTGCTGCTTTCTCTGTTTCCATCTCTCTCTTTTTCTCATGATTCTTTGTGCTTAGCTACTGTTGACTTCAGTGCCTGCTACTGCCAAAGTTGTGGCTTTATGACAACAATGTGCTAACCATGTTTGAAATAATTTCCCTTTACCTTGGCAGAACAACGGTTAAAGTTTGTCATATGTAGCATCCACCTAGCAAGTGTTTTCCACTTTGTAAATTTTTTTTATGAATTTGACTACTAACTTGATTACCTCCATTTCCTCCTTTATCTCTCTCTATCTTCTCGTTATTGTCTTTATTGACATATAATCCAAAACTTATCTGTATGATAATGATAACAAACAATATGTGAACAAATAAAGGCCAAAGATATCATGTCTATCACAGACAAAGGTCCCACAGCATCGTCCTTTATTTGAAGAATTTTGGTCCATTTTCGGTAGTAGAGATATAAACAAAAACAGAAGCTGGAAAATTGTATTAATTAATTCTATTGATACCAATTCTCTATTATAGTCCATCATATAATGCATCATATTCCATTCGCATCATTGGCTACACTCTGGTTCCGCATGGTTGTTCACAAATTGGTGAAGTAATAAAAACTAAAGGTGACTGAGACTTTCCTATGGTAATAAACTAAGCTTATACTTTTATTACATGGTGAATTAGTACCCCAAAATAGATGATATTGCACTAGCCAGCGAAGAATGCTTTTCAAGGTTTTTAAAAACAGTTGCGGTCGCGATTTCATGACGTTCTTTGATAGTGTAGAAAATTATGAATCGATGCGATTGATACGGTCACATTTGTACTACTGTGGCCGAAACCACTGTCATCGCAGAGTGTTTTTTAAAACCTTGAATGCAATACTCTAGAGTCTAGGTTGAGCCAACAGAGGAAAGCTCAATTGACCCATAATCAAGCAACTCCTGAATCATCTGCTCTATGTGATCATCTTCAAGAACTGGCTGAAATTGTTGATGGGAAACTTCAACTTGGCCCGCCACGCTAACCCAATTCCCTTCAAGCCATCTTAAGTCCTCGTGTCTGTTCTCTGGCCATCTAAAACCAGTGTCAGAGCTTGATGCATCAATGACATTGGCAGAGGTAAATGAATTGGACCCTTGTGAGGGTTGAGGCTCTTTGTCTTGTGGTGGATTTTGCTTGGCCATTTGAAGGGAAAGCGAGGCCATGTGACACTTGTGTAACTTAGCCGTTAAAGTGGCCGAGAGAAGCTTGGACGAGGATGAATGTGGTTCATTGGGGTTGTATGGGAAATTGGTGCGTGCTTTTTGCCCACACATGAGCCTAGCTGCTTCATCATATGCTCTTGCTGCATCTTCTGCAGTTTCAAAGGTTCCAAGCCAAATTCTAGTCTTCCTGAAGTCCAAGAAAACAAGATAAACAGTGTCAATTTCCATCAACTCAAGAGTGCAATAGTCATATGAATTGCTTAGTAATGTAGTAGTAAACTGCTACAACGCACGTAAAAGAGTTGAAGAGGAAGATTATGTCGGAAACATTATTCTCTTTAATAAAGAAAAAAGTGAAGTTAATGTGGTGTGAAGTGAATTACAATAAAGGGTGGCGAATTTCAGAGACCCAAGAGCCCCAGTGCCTTTGCCTGACTCCACGATAACGTTGTTGGGGTCTGGCCATGATGATTGATGAGAAAAAGGAGAAGGTGAAAATTGAAAACTGAAAACTGAAACGTGTCTGTGAAGTGTCTCTGAGAATGGGAAACAAACACAGGAAATGTGACTGAAGTGAAGTGAAGGAGAAGGTGATTATTTATACAATGCTCTTTCTAGATTTATAGAAAACTCTTTAGAACTTTTGTCCTCTATCAATTTATAATTAATGGCCCACACACTCATGTTTTCACCCCTTTGATGCAGGTAAAGTTCTTGGAGGATGACTATTAATATTTTTTTTTATCAACAAAATGTTTCTTTTATCTGCAATTTACATATTTGAGTATAATAACGTTAAGTATAAAAATGATAGACATGTTTAATTATGCCAACTAGTAAAATATGTAATATTTAAAATGCAATAATATAAACTTATGGATTATGATGGGAATTTTTTTGTCTATAGAAAATGAATTTATATAAGAAAATTGACAACAATTTGTTCATGTCATTAATATAGTTATACTCCTCTTCATCACTTTTTTTCACTTTCCATCATATTTATCACCATAGTTCTTCAATTCTACTACTTACATGAGTTTAAATGGATTATAACTTCAAGTGAGAGTGTCCACACTAGACCATTCTACTTTTTAAAGGAGTGATTTTTATAAAGCCTCCATTCACTGCTAAATATAAAACTTACAGATTTTTCTGACTTGTTTAAAGCCACTTTGAAACTAATCAATGTAGAATGGTTACGTCTAAAGGTGGATCTAGTAAGCTTTTGTCTACTACTTATCAATGACTTTATATTTTTTGGGTTAGATATGCTAGTGACTACTTAATTATAGGTAAGTTGAATGCTTATCAGGAACTGTTAGTTAACTATGAAAAATATACAAGAAAGGTAAAGAAAAAATATGCAAAAACTGTTTTATGTTGTGTTTATTATAGGTGCTATTTGACTATAATTTGTTGCATCAGGCAATATGATTTATGTATAAAACGCAGTTCCAATTCCAAAGAAATTACATAAGTCTGGTGTGAAAACGTGAGGTATAAGGTTCAATGCTGCATTAGAATAATAATTGGAGTGTATGAACACTGGATATGTGATTTCATGTTTACGTGGAAAGACATAAAACATTAAAATTTCTTAAAATTACTTTAAATATTCTTTCAGTAAGTGAGTATGAATAAAAAAAATTACAACTAAGAAGAATGAAAAAAATATATTCGGCCTTTTACACCCTCCAAAAAATATAGTATATGAACTTCAATGGACTGTGTGTTTGCAGTGCAATTTTATAATAATTTTCATGAGCTATGACCATATGCAGAGTTTTTAGATGGATTTAGCGTCTTTGTTTTCATATGGAAAAATATTTGTTTATTTAATGTTGCAGGCATAGTCAATGGAATTTTCCAAAAACAAATAATAAAAGAATTGGCTTTACAAGATAAAATAAAATTTGTAAGATATTCTCTAAGACGACATTGATGGGGTCTCTACAGAGGATGAAAAGACACTAAAACATTCATAAATTAATTTTTCTCAAGCTTAGCTCAACGTAGAATTTAAAAAAAGCTTCTTGTATATTTTATTTTAATTATATTATTATTGAGACACATGTCTCTCACTCTTAATTACTGAATTAATATGCTTAAGCCTATAATTATTTTTTTAATTGAAGGATATTAAGATAATAACGACGAGTTGCGTTGTGATGCACGCGAAACGAAGCGTTTGGTAGAAATTAATTAAATTGATGCGTACGATTACGACTCATTAATTGTGTTTTCCCAACTTATGGCTTTTTGACGCGGGTGGGACTACTTATATTTAAAAATTCGTATTTTTTTTTGAATTTTAAATATATTTTTAAAGTTTTTTTAATTTATTTTCAGACACATTTCATCCACTTCATATTTTTATACCATTGTTGTTAACAGAAACTAAAAAATAAAAACATGTTTAAGTTTTAGATAAACAAAATAATATGAAATATTTTTACAAAGCACATTTAATATATTTAAATTTTATAAAACACATTTTATTCTTAAAGAGATTATTTCCTAAATTATACTTTTTTTTCCTAAAAAAATATTTTGATTTTGATTTTTTAAATTAAAATGTTTTTTCTTCTTTAAAATAGTAGCTGTTCTAGATTTTGGAACATAATTTTAAATGATTTTTTATTGATTCAAAAGTTTGAGTCAAATTGAGTTTAAATGAAATTTTAGTGGGCTGACTAACTCGTGGCCCAATCAGTGTGTACGCTACAGCTGTTTATGTTCTAACAAGTTGGGCTGCAAAAATGGGCCCAATTACGAGTCTATAGAAAATAATAAGGTAATTATGCTAATGATAATAAGTTAACTATTATTATTATAATTAGGATAATTAGAAACTTCTTCAATGAAAACAAAAAAATTGAGGTGCATTTAATTAAGATGTTTACAAGAAATAAAGTGTGGTACATTTGCATAAACTATATATCAAAATCTTCTATACATTATTCAATGTATAGAAGAAAAAAAGTAACGAATTATGGAGGCAATTTCTTGAATATGTGTGAACATTGGAAGAAGAGGATCTAGTTTCCACGTAGTAATATAAAATAGTATTATAAAAACATGACAAGTCAATTGAATATTTTCACCATAACTAGGCACCACAAAACCATTACAAAAGCCCACTTCTGCGTGTCCACGTCATCATCATCAACCTCTCCGAGGGAGAACAGAAACAAAGAACAACAAAGAACAAAAGAAAACGCGTGTTCGTGTTACCCCTTTCTTTCTCTCTCTCTCTCTCTCTCTCTCTCTGTCATTTGGTGCGTTCAACCCCTCTTTCTTCAATATTTTCATCAGAGCCTTCCTCTCTGGATTTTTGGTTGAAGATGCGACGCTCTTCTGCTTCCAAAAAGACGGGTCAATCCAATTCCACTTCCACCGCCGCCGATCTCTTCCGCTCCGGTACGCCATTCCCAATATTCCAATTTCACCTCTTTCTTTCCTTACTGACCCTTTCTCTGCATCTTCCATAACCTGTTCCCCTCTTGCATCCTCTAGTGATAATTGGAATCGCCTTCTTTAAGCTCAGATTACGAGTGCTTGGTGTTTTCTTTAATAGTAGCTTATATTCATATCTTGTGGTATTGTTAAATTTTATTCTTTTTCCTATTTTTTGGTCCGCTCTGCCTGTCTGTTCATGGCTCGCAAACTTATCTTGGTGTTTTTTTTTTTTTTTTTTTTTTTATATATAAAAAAAAATTATTTGTCTGGTATAATTGGGTGGGGTTTTGGGATTGTGGTAGTTGGTAAGGACTAGTGGGGCAGAATTCTTACTTGAGAGTTTAGATCTTAAGAAGGAAAACGCATTTCCCCTGTATTCATCTCAATTTATTACTTTTTCAAGCAAAGGCTGATAAAGATATTAATTACTTTAAGCATGGACGGTACACCTCAATTAAACCTCTTAAATTTAGAGAATGAGGCACGGGGATCACACTCTTCAAAGCTTGACCATTGATGCCTTCCTTGTATGTTTGTGTTATTTTATCGTGATTATGCATTTGGTCAAACATAATTGGACTAATTGGACTAGTATTTAGCAAGAACTTTTGTAGAGGGCAATTTATTGTTCAATATTCTAATCATTCAAACATGATTTTCAGCTTCAAGCAAGGCAAGCACGAAGGAATCTGAACGAATTGATAATCTATTTTATTCATATGCTAATGGGTCTACTGCGATGATTGAGTAAGTGTGCTTCATCTAAAAATGTTTTTTTCCCTCCATTCAGTATGTATATATCAAATTGCATTATCCTTTTGTCATTTCTATAATTCCAATCCCAAACCTAGGACATGAATCTGCTGGGGGTAGATAGCATTTCATCAATGATTTGCTGTTGTGAATGAACTGTTATAGATGAATATCTCCTCTAAAATAGCTAGGTGAATTTATAAATGTAGTTATCCTCACAAGTTGTTATGAGCATAGGAGGTATATGTACAGTTAAATGACAATAATTAACCCTATTATGCTGAAGTACTCATCCTGTTAGACTTCAGGTATAAATATTATTGTGAGGTAATAGGGTAAGACTTGATAGTGTAGAGAATTTGATAAACTCTTGTATTATCAGGCATTTGGTAACATAAGTGATGTACTTGTATACATGATTATCTTCTATGACTATACAACCCTTCAGCTGCTGCCTGCTGCATTATTTCTTTTGCATCTCACCTAATTCCTCACAAAATCTTGCCCTCTCACTTCTGGCAAATTTTTCCCATCACTTTCTTCCTACCCCCTACCTGTCCTTCCATGATCAATCTGTCGAGTAGGTTTATGGTGATGTGCTGCCACATTTGGTTCCAGTGACGAAAGGTCTCCTTAGCCTGCTTCTCTGTCAATGTTGGCAATGGACATTCACCTAGATGCCATGAAGCCCTCAACAGTGGTGGCATGGGTTAGCTTGCGAGGCAAGTGTGGCAGTGGAAGTCAGAAGCTCAAGCAATGGTGGTGCTCTGGTTTCTTCTCCCATAATTTGGCAATGGCAGCTCCCCTTTTTTTCCTGTTCGTGTCGTGGGTGATGGTTTCTTCAATTGGATGGGGACATTTAAGACTGATTTGAAATTTATTTTGCTTTGGAATTCTATTGGTAGTTTAATGTCACTTCATTCAATGAGTGTAGAAATGCTTTCTTTGAAATCTGGAGTTGTTTTTTGTGGGTTTTGAACATTATTTGGTTTCAAATTCTGTATGTAGACTTGAAATTTAGTATACCATCATGTTTGAGCGATTGCAATCTGCATTGGTCTCGGAAGAGGAAAATGCGGTAACTGTTGAGGTAGAGGTTATGGTTATCGGGCTGTAATAGGATTAAAAACTTTGATCTAATTTGACTATGCTAGCAGATAGTTGCACCAAATACTTGATAGCATCAGCTTATCAGGTCCTCCTTCAGCAATGCACTGAGAGGTCTTGGGGCGAAAGATAGGATTACATGTAATTTACTATATAAGGCATCAATCATGTATATTAAGGGAAAACAAAAGAAAGAAAAGATAAAATGAAGAAGTATGAACTTGTTTAAAGTGTAAGAAAGTGATTCTTGGTGTATAAGTGCTATTTTTTATGCACTTTCTAGGTGAAGGTGTTTACATTTTTTAAAGTAGTTTTTTTATATTTTAATAATTTTGTTACAGCCCAGAGGGAATTGAAACACTTTGTGCTGATATGGAGGTGGATCATACAGATGTGAGGGTTTTGATGCTTGCATGGTAAGTTATTGTGCTAAACTTGATTGCCATTCGATACCATAGTATTAATTTCTTGTATCAGTATCTTAAATCTGTATTTGAAGTTGATGAGACTAAATTTAACAGGAAAATGAAAGCTGAGGAGCAAGGGTATTTTACCTTGGTATGTAGATTATCTTGTTCATTGTTCATAAAACTTATTTTTGAACTATTTCAGTTTTTAAATACAAATTCACACACACACACACACACACACACACACACATATATATATATACATACACACACACATATATATATATATATACATACATACATAGATATATATATATATATATACATATATATATGTACATATATATATGTATATGTATATATATATGTATATGTATATATATATATATATATATATATATATATATATATATATATATATATATATATATATATATATATATATATATATATATATATATATATATATATATATATATATTTGAAGCCAGAAATATAATGTAAGTAAGATTCTTTAATGCTTGGTGCACAATCATGTAGTTTTGGTATATCTTTCTTACCCATCCTTATACTGAAATTCATATACATATTCCACAATTCTATAGGACGAGTGGAGGAGAGGCTTAAAAGCATTAAGGGCCGATACTGTAAGTAAATTGAAGAAGGCACTTCCAGACCTAGAAAAAGAGGTACAATTATTGAAGTGATACACTCTTTTTATTATAGATGTAGAAATTAGTTTTTGACAATCGTACTTATTTATGGTGGTATGATTTTATCAGTTGCTAACATTCTCTATTTGACATCTACTGTGAAGGTCAGGAGGCCATCAAACTTTGCAGATTTCTATTCATATGCTTTCCAATATTGTTTAACAGGTAAGCTTTAATTTATTCTGTTCATTAATTTTAACTTCTTTTCTTTCTTTGTTTATTTATGCCGAAGTTATTTGGAGTTGATAGCGTAAGATTACATTAATCTGATCTTAGCCTTTTATTTTATGTTTCCCTTGTGTACTAGATTGAACTGTGTTCAGATTGGTTAGAAATTCTTTAACTAACTCTTATTAATATATTTGTTGTAACTTCGATTACTCAATAAAATAAGAATTATCATTTCTTCTCCTAAACTAGTCATCATATGTTCTATATTTAACTTGTCTAATTTTGCCAGAGGAGAAACAGAAAAGCATTGATATAGAGAGCATTTGTGAGTTACTTACTCTTGTTTTGGGTTCAACGTTTCCGCCGCAAGTAAACTTATTTGTGGAATATTTGAAGGTGGGTAATTGCTTTTAAACAATTTTTTAATTGTTACCAGTGATTTTTACATGATTTTTAATTGTTTATCATACATATATGGCAGACTCAAAATGATTACAAGGTCATAAACATGGATCAATGGATGGGATTTTTCCGCTTTTGCAACGAGGTAGCCACTTTTTCTGCCACTTATATGTTAATAAATTAGGGGAAGATATTTGTCAGCCTTTTTCACTCAAAGTATTGAGCATTATCGTTGGGTCCTTTTTTCTTTATTTTTTATTTTTTGTTATAAATTTTAACTCAGATGCAAAATCAAATCTATTCACAGATAAGTTTTCCAACCCTTAATGACTATGATCCTGAGCTTGCATGGCCCTTGATCCTGGACAATTTCGTTGAATGGATTAGAGAAAAGCAAATATAATCTGATAAGCCACCTGATTCTCTGTAACTGCAACCAAGGTACGTGTTTTCATAAATGTGGTGTTTATGATTTTTGAAGTTTGTATTCTAACGTATGCAAGTTGGTTTGTGGACACTTGGCAGCACTTGGCAACAACTAAATCAGCAGACAAGATAGATATGCCTTGTGACTCGTTTATTGTGCTTAACAAGCTATTGTTCTTTTCTTGGCTCAGTTTCTTATTCTGGGCATCTTAAACACAAACCATTGTTACTTCTATCTAAATTTTCCATTATATACCATATATGTGCAGTTGAGGCTAGATACAAGCTTTACATTCTCATCTCTGCCAATGTCAACACCAACAGCGTTTATCATACATAAGAGCTTTAATAGAACTTCATTCAGTAGACCTATTCTCATCATCATTTACCATTCTTATTTTCTTTTTATATTATTGCCCCTAATTGTATGTACACGAGTCAAGGTTATGACCATGCTAAATTTTTAAATTATGAATCAAAAAGCTAGTTTTTTTAGTAAAAGCATAATTTGTATTGAATCAAAATATCAGATATCAGAGACAGTGGAAATGAAATTTTAAATATACCATATATAGATATATAGTGTTCTATATACTGATTTTTTAAAATTAGAAATACATTAAACAACTTAACCATGAGTTTCGTAAACAAAATGGTAAGTTATATTTGAGTTTACGAAACCTCTATCTTCAAAATAATGGAATGAAGCAATTCATCAACCAAATTAATGAGATAAGTTATTCTTCAATTCTTTTTTTATTTTTCTGTCAAACAATTCCTTTTTATGTAACAATTTAAAATTATATGAGTTTTGTTTTTATAAGAATTGAACCGAATAGTTGTATGAGATAAATTGCCACCAAATTGTATGATTCATACACTAAATACTAAGATCTCTTGAACAAGACTCTGTTACAATTCTGATATAAAGATTAAAATATAATTCCTATGAAACAATTCTATATTGTCATTCAACTATAAATTTGTATGATATATTAAAAGTAATAAACACTGTGTTGTTTAGTTAAGATTTCACAACTCTCTAAATATAAATTTGCAACTGCAATTTTCTTTTTCCTCAAAGTGACCTCCACAGATAGGCTAGGTAGGTTGGTTTTGGAATAGAAATCTGTCTAGATCACTTAATTTTAACGAAGCATCGTGAATTTACTTCCACAATCATGTTCTTGTTCTTAGCCATGAAAAATTGTTTGGAGAGAAAAAGGAGATGAAAAAACTAAGTAATATGCTTGTGTCATTGAGTCCATAATTGCTTTGGTGGTCAAAAGTTGATGTTCTAACATGCAGCTTTGTTGACTCTAATAGTCCCTTTGGAGGAAAAAGTGGAAAGTCCAAATAGCAAAAGTCATGACCCTAAAAAAAGAAAATGAAGAATGGGGCACAGAGATTGTCAGAAAATGACAGCACCAAAGTTTTCTGTAGTTCATGTCTCTCCATTTCACTGCTTGTGTAATGGCAATTACATTATGTGGTTTATGCATCTCAGCATGTGTGCAACACAGGATGAATTATGAAGCTTGTAATTTGTCATTAGTTCATCATCATTTTCGACTTCGACAGAATAAAAAAAGATCATGTCTGCATCTACAGACACTTGCTGTTTTTCAATCTTATCAAACATAAAACTAAAATTTTATCCTAAGAAAAACCATGAATTCTGCTTTTTGTCTGTGATTGTAAACAACTTGTTCCAAAGCAGAGAACTTTTAATAAACTGCATCTTACTCTTCTAACTTTACCCTTCATATAATTTAATTCTAGGATTTCTTTTATACAAGTAATCAAAAGTTGGACATTAATTCTCAAAGAGAGATTGAATATGTTGTGGATTTGGTACATTTAGATTTTGAATAGTTAATTTGTATATAGATAATGAAAATAGAAGTTAAAATAGACCACAAAGTATGTAAACAGAAGTTTAAATAAATATATATATATATATATATATATATATATATATAAAATGAAAAAATGGTGACATATTTAAAAAGTAGATAAAAACATATCGTGATTTTACAAATCTTAAAAAGTGAAAATAAAATCAGCTTTTACTTTATTTCAGTTTGTTAGATTGTCATGTGTCAAATTTAAGTTGATACACGTTTTTCATTTTTAAGAATATTATTTTATATTTTTCCTAGTTTCAGAGAAAATTTTAAAAAATTTCATAAAAAAGGCGTAATAGAAAATAATATATTAATAAACTCTTTAAAGTATACTATATTTAACCAAATGTATCGTAAATAAAATACCTTTAAGTTTACACGAAAATTCATGACCTTTATTACAAATTTAATGATATATAATTTGACATATACAAGAATTAGAAATTAAAAATTGGAAAAGTATAATTTCTGTTTTCTCAAATTTTATTACTAAATTGTATTCCATTCATCCATTTTAAAATTTCATATTCAAACAGCAATAATCATGTGTTCAACTTTCAATTACTTATATAATAATAATAATAATAATATTGTTGTTATTATTATTATTATAACAAAACATTTGTGTACGTTAGAATTCATGTATCGTATCCATTCTGCAATTCCCATTTCTTTTCCATTGTCGTCTTTCTGGGATTACAATTTTTCTATAAGGTGGGTCCTCTCTTTTCTTTTCTTTTTCAAAAAAGAAAGATTAAAAAGAAAAAAAAAGGAGCTTTGAATCCGGGATTCCTGGCCTGTATTTTTGATATCTTTATAATGTTATTGGACGTGAAGAATGAAGAAAAAGAATTTTAAACTCAGAATCGAATCTGTTGCTTTTCTTCTCTGTAATTTGGCAAATAAAGAAGAAGAAAAAAAGAACGAGATTTATGGGCGTGAAGATCATGAAGAAGAAGAAGAAGAGCCAATAATCAACGGCGAAGGAGGAGGGAGGGGACGTCGGGTTCTACTCCTTCCCCTGCGCCCTCTCGCAGGGGATGGTGACGGTGTGGAATTCGATGCACTCTGCTTCTTTCCCTCACTCGCTAATGCTTCCTTCTCTCCCTCACCCTCACATTGCTTCTCTTCCATCCTGTGATGTCTAACTTTCGTTGAGTTCAATGTCACAGGCAGAACACAGTTGCACAAAAATCCTGCAACACATTAAATCATTCACCTCAACTTTCAAACAAAGCTCTTCAATCAAATATGATTCCAAAGTAAATTTTTTTTTTTTTTTATCGCTTGTAAAATAATCGTTTGTTTAGTCTCTTTTATCGTCTTCTACACAGCAAAGTCAACAATAACTATATTTAAATTTTACCATGGTGTTGGTGGGAATGAATGGTCCTATGCTATCTAACAAATTTCCACTTCACTCAATATTTTATTGCGGATACAACAATTTCACAGAGGAAACAACTGATCTTTCCATTTTCAAATTTCAAATTTAACGCAAGCAAACAAAAACACCTGAGATGAAAACGACCAGTAATAATAAAAATAAAACATGTTTTGTTGCGTTATCGTTGTTGTCGTTGTCGTAGCAGTAGCAATGAATAGTGAACGGTGAATAGTGAAGTTACCACTTACCGATTCTGGCAAGACGATTGACCCAACTTGGGATAGGATTTCCGGTGAGTCTTAGACAAGCATCGTTGCAGAAATGGTTGCAATTCTTTGTGATGAGATTGTAAGCATTCCCTCTGTATTCAGCGGCGAGTTCTTCCATCACCGCCTTCACCTCGCCGGGTCCCATATCGGTTTTTCCGATAAGAATCGTTTTTCTGAATGTGAAACCTTCGCACCTCTTCGGTTCCCCTTCGAATATCCCCGTCGACGGGAACTCGTGAGCCCCGAACGCGAATTCAACGCCGTGAACTGCACCACCACCACAACCACAACAACTAAATTAAAAATTGTTTTTTTGTTCCAATAAAGAGGAAAGATAGCGACGCGGGAACTGTTTTTTTTTTTTTTTTTTGTTGCAGATCGTAGATCTGAGGTGGGTTCTTTCGGAGATTCAAAAGGGGTGGAGAGTGAGTGAGAGGAAAAAAAAAACCCGACGAACCTTGCACGCCGGAATGGTACACTCCGAGGCCAAACCAGTAAGCGTAACCGTTCATAGGTGTCAGATCGTATACGTTGAGGTACACCGGGACCGATCCCGAAGCGACGCCGTTTCTGGAGCTCTTTCTGCACAGCATTCTGCGGCGTCGTTTTGATTCGCAACGCCAACTACTTCATCGTCGCTTCACGCGGAAGAAGAAGCAGAGTTCAATGCGAAATGAAGGTGGAGGTTTTTCTCAGTCTGCAAAGTTGTTAGCTTTTCACAATTGGGTGTCCGAAATTTTAAGAAATGGAAAATGGGTAGGAGAAGACGAGGAGAAAGAAGAACGGAATGAGAAGCTAGTCGTTACGTTGTTCCACCGGCAGCGGGTGTTGGTGGTGGTGGTGGCGGTGCGTGTGTGTGTGTGAATTGAGAACATATTTAGTGTGTTACATACGCATGTAAATGTATTTATAAATCAACGTTTTGGTATTGAAGGGGTTGTGATATGGGGTGAAATTACGGTTGTGCCTGAAACATGAGCTGGTGGTCTCGGGTGTAGGATCTGATTTTGTTGAAAAGAAATTCTTAGGACAAAGAAAGTAACGTTTGGTCATAATTATGGCGTATGGGTGGGGGGTTCCATGTTATTTTATGCGTATTGTATATTGTATCATGAACTGTTTTTAGTGGAGTTTTGATCTTAAAGTAAAGAAAAGGGGAGGGTGATGATGGGTTTCGGGGAAAGGGGTAGTGGGGCATGGAGATATATATGATAATGGATTCAATTAACAACTTTTTTGGATTAAAGAATTTAATTAGGTATGTGACAGTGTTGTTGATGTTATGAATCACACTAACTCCTACTCTTTCTTTTTGGAATCTACCCTTCTCTCTGAGGTCAAGTGAAGTAATCAAGATAGAAAGTGACTTTGACCCTTGACAGTGGTCCAATTGGTTCTTAATTAGGGTTCTCTTTCTGTTTTTTTTTTTTTTTTTTTATATATGATTTGTTATTGTATCATCGGGATTTTCTGTAATTAAGAGATATAGTTTATTGAGACATAATTTCTTAATAACGAACTAAAACTTCTACCTCAAACATCCACAATATAATAATCTAATATAGTTGATTCATCTAAACATGAATTCTTTTTTCTTTTTGCCAAAATTCAAATCAAAATTTGAAAAGTTTTTTCAAGTTAAGAATGAATGTTTTACTAACAAAATGTGAATGAGAGACACTACTTGATAATGGAATTATATTTTCTAGTTGTATTGTAATAATTGTGAAGAATACTCTTAGAAATGTAAATAAATACTTATTTTAATAAGTTACCACTATTAAAATAATATATTTTAATGTTGTTATTGTATGGATTGTTGAATTTAGATTGGAGACATTTAATGTATCTCAACTAATATATTTTCTTCTCAACATTGTTTATTTTATATTAAAAGTGATGTTATGGGATTTAAGTGTGAACCACATAATCAACAATATAAACCGTATATAATGAAAATAATTAAATTCTGTATTGTAAAATAAAGGAAGTTTTGAGTATAGTCTTTCTTTCCAAAATTAATGTTGCTTGTCTAAATATATATATATATATATATAGTAAATTAAATCAATAAATTATTAAACGCAAATAATAATAAAATATTAATAATTAATATATATATATATATATATATATATATATATATATATTTGTATTAATTCGGTACACAAATTTCTGAAACTTTTTAAGTAATTTAAAACAAAACAAAATTTTAAATTGAACTATTTTTCAAATCTTAAATTATAATTTTAATTTTCGAGGTTAATTTATCTGAATTTTAACATTCATGCGTAAAATTATATTAATTTAGTTTATGAAAAAAAATCAAAATATTTATTTAATTTTATTACATTCTTTTAATTATAATAAAATTAATCTAATAAAAACACAAATTGATTAATTTTGAATTATCAATTTTAAAAAAATGTCTAATTGACAATTATATTAATAAAAAAATAAAGATGTTAGATTGATTTATCTTTTAAAAAATCATAAATTAACATATAATTTTTTTCCTACTTGTATAAATTGTGACTAAACAATTTATATGAATTATTTTATACATCATAAATAAAAAAAATATTAGCGAATTTTGAAATTATTTTTATTAAACAAATATTTCTTTCATATATATATATATATATATATATATATATATATATGTGTGACTTGTTTAAATTTTTATTTTTTATTTAAATTAGTATTATTTTGTTTACTAATTTGATTTTAGGTTATAATTTTTTTAAAATTAAAACAAATCTGGTAAAAAAATATAAAGAAAGAAGCAAGTTTATTTTTTTAAACCCATTTTTATATTACTGTTAAAATTTCTTTTAATCATTTTTAATTATACATTTATCTTTTTCTTTCACGATTCATTATCTGCTTAATTTTTTTTTAAGTTAGTTTTAGCCTGATTTTAACGCTGAATATTTCTCATGTATTTTAATTTGTCAAGATCCATTTTCGTAAAGTGGATGAAGAAGAAAAAAACATTATTTTCAGAAAAAAAAACAAAACTTTACTTTGGTTTTGCTAACTTTGTTGAATAATAGTCGTAAATGAACGGGGAGTAGAAGCGGGGCGGGTATTTTGGATCCGAATTTTGAAGGTTGTGGTGGATGTTTTGTGTGATGAACCTATGTTTGGCGGCGGAGTAAGGTGGTTGCGCTCCTCCGAGCGATTCAAGTTTCTTGCTACGTCATTCTCCACGAACGCAAGGACCCGTTATTCCTTCTGTACATCAACTAGAAACAGTAACAACAGCAACAACGACAACAAAAACATCATCGTCGATGAAAGGTATCGAATGCTGGAGAATCTCGACATGATGACTGCTGCTAAGATCCTTTTCACTGATCCCCCCAAGAAGAAGAAGTTTGGGTATCACTCTTCCTTTCCTCTATGTTTTCTCTCTTTCGCATTTCGTCGAGCACCTTCTTTGCACCTTTTTCTTCCACATTGGAACCAAACTCTGATGATAACTTTACTTAACGATCCTATTATCTGCTATCTCCACTTTATCATCTCTCTTTACATCTGTTTTTTTACTAACACATTTGGAGTTTTAAGCCGCAAGTAAATACTATGAAAACCTTCATATTGGTCCTTAACATTAGTAGACAATGCCGAGGAAATGTACCAAAGCTATGAATTCAAATTTTAAGACCAGAGTGAAATTAAAGGCCAAGTAAAGACTATATTGATGGATGCATATTATACTAAAATTAAATTAAGGGTTTATTCGTTGGGTGGGGTGGTGGGCAGGGGGAGATAAATATATTTGTTTATAATATTAATGGGCGAAAAAAAATTCTTACTTTGTATCTCTGTTTGTCTTGGTCAGGTTTGATTTCCATCTTGTACAGTTTTTTTTCGCCTGCTTGCCTTCCTTGGGTATGATACTCACCCGTTTAAGTATTCTTTTTATCATTTTCAACATATTCTACAGCTATCATCTAAGTTTATTTATTTTTCCACTCAGCTGTATATTTGGTGGCACAATATGCTCATTATGAAAAGAGAAAATTGGAAGTGGTATGTTTTCTTTCCTTTTTTCTGATATTGTAATATAAGGGTGATTTTTTATCATCATATAAATCTTGGTAGGATGCTTGTGATCATCTCTTCTTCATATTCTGATCATTCAGTTCAGGGCTCCGTCTAAAGTACTTTCCATGGAATCCTTTAGAACTGGAACTCTTTTGTATGACAATCTAACAAGACTTGTATAGGCTATTCAGTGTTCTGATCCATTTCGGTTTCATAGCAAGACACTGATGATGTGTAAACTATATCTTTAATACTCCTTACACTCTGGAAACGTTTGCGGGGTATCATCACTGTGGAATTTTTTTGCTGAAAATTAATGACAGGGATAGTGAGTTTGTTTTGTTTACCATTATTTGAAATACATTGGAGTTTCCTAGACTATATTCTATTTTTTTGTTGAACCTGTTATTTGTTGGTACTTTATTTGTAATTGTACATGTTAAAAATTGGATGAATGGTACTCCAAATTTTGATTGATTTCCTCCCTAATAATGGTTTTTCTCCAATCACTTCATAGGATATGGCAAACAGAAGGAAGCTGAAGGAAGAAGAAGAAGCAAAGGAAAAAGAAAAAGAAATGGAATTAAATCCCCAAGAGGAAAATGAAGAAAAATCTGATCCCCAGCTTTCAGAGTTGAAAGTGAGACTTGAGAAACTTGAAGAGGCTGTGAAGGAGATTGTTGTTGAAACAAAGAAACAATCAAGTAGCAACGTAGCCAAAAATCAGGTGACAGATGATGAGAAAAAACACTTAAATTCTTCTGCACCAAAGGACCCTAGTCCCACTGATTCTGCATCAAGTAAAGCTGACGACGAAGACCATTTTGGTAAGCATAATTCTCCCAAGTCAAAGCCAGAATTACGTGAAGATAACAAGGGTTCAGTTGCAACCCCAAATCCTTCTCTTCAGGATCCCAAAGGCCAGAATAAAAGTGGAGGGGCTTCTTAAGGTACTAGGATCTTTAGAATTTTTCTTTTAGTCATTAGATTGAAATGATCAAAAGCTATAGGGTTTATTCTTTATCTTTTTCTCAAAAAATGATTAGTTATTTAATCACACTCCACAGCTTACCAAACCTGCCGTCAATCTCTTTCCTCTGAGAAAAACTTTTCAAGTTTTATTGAGAAGGAAGATATAAATAAGAAAGCTATTTTTGTTGCATTAGTTTAGTAAGCTAGAAAGCAATTGTTACTTGGGCTTTATGCTGCCTGCAGTCATGTAAGGATCCAGTAAATTAATAGTTTTTTTCGGCTATGATAATTTGAATGTATAAGGGAGTAAACTTTAAATGAATGTTCATCCTCTCCATTTAATTTAGTTAGCTTCGACCTTCACTTTATTTTATTCAATTAAGTCGTCCAAGTTATATATTTATGTCAATGCTTTCCTCTTTGTTACCTTTGTCTGTCTTACGTGATGTTTAACCCATTAATTGAATCCAAAATGCGGTCATTTTACTAGTACCTCTTCTTTTTTCCTTCGTTTTGGGTATAGCGAGGAAGAAGGCAGCACGTACAATAATGACAAGGAGCAAGATTGTGATCCTGAAGTGTTGTCAAATGCCCTGTGGAGAAAAGGGCTTTGGTACCATGGAAAGTGGTGTCAATTTCAAATAGGGTAGTTTTGGATTTGGAGTTGAAGGACCAACATTTGAGTGAACCGACATTGGACCAAAATTCAGTCAACTCTCAAGAGTATTTTTTACTTTTGTTTAAAGCAATAGCTGGGAACTCTTGTCTATGATGGTTATGTTATGGTTGCAGACAGTTATAACGTTGAGTGTATCAATTTCATGGGCTTGAATGCAAACTGCACTAGTTTGGTGTGGTGGTTATCTTGGTTGGTAACTCAGAATGCAGACAGTTATTGGAAGGGAAGAAATCCAAGGCCAAAGAACAAGTGCTTTGGACTTAATTAATGCCGTTAAATGTCTCATTAATCACGTCCAGATATTTGGAAGAAAAATTAAAGTGGGATCTGCTGTTCATATCTGCTCAGGACCTTTGAAGTCAGATCTTAGCAGATTATCTCTCTTAAATTTTCTCTTGGAAAAAGATTGTATAATAATATGAAATGGTCTGTACATTCAATTCCTGGGTTAAATACATGTATGCTGCGCCGGCGTAACACTGAGTAATTGCTAGCTTTGAAGATATTTCTTTGGATCCATTTTCAGTAATTGCTAGTATGTCTTAGACGTGGAACCTGCTTTAATAACGGGTACTGTTAGAATTATACGATACTCAAAGGGTTTATGTATCTTTTTTATCCCTCTATATCTTTATCATACTTTTTCTTCCAAATTTATCTCACGTTTGCATAAAAACCAAAATTTTGAGTTCTTCAAGTGTTAATTTGGGCTAACCAGACTCTGCAGAGTTGGTCACTCACGAGGATTTCAAAAAATATTTTTTTTATGTAAATCTCGTTAATTTTTTTTCCCTTTTTTTACTTTTTTTTTAACCTTCTTACGTTGATATTTGAATAAACAATTAATAATTTTTCATTGACTAGAGTGTATTTTATCTATCAATTGACTACCTTTTATCTTAATATTTTCTGTAAATATCGATGTCATCAAGTTTTAATGTCCTCATCAATTTTAATTTCATCGATAATACATATCATATATTTGTTTTCAGCTTATTATTTAAAAAAAAAAGTAATCTCACTTATAATATTGTGATTATATTTTATATGAGGAATTTTGTGAATATAAAATATCTAATTACTAAATCAATTAAATTTATTTTATTTAATTATAAATATCATTACAATTGATCAATATTAATTATATATATAATACTTAATCTTTTTTTTTAAGGTTCTCAATCACACTTCTTTAATATTGAAGGCTAGTTTATTAATCTACAGTATTTATGCATAGTAAAAAAATATCAATTAACATATATACGTATAATTATTATTTGTTTCTTCCCTCTATTTTTAGTTGAAGTAAGGTAAGACTATTTATTAAAATGTTTAATTTTCTAAGAAATAATAGTAAATAAAAAAATTCATAAACTCTCAAATTATTAGTGTAAAGTTAACATACACAATGATTTATCTTAGATTATAATAATTTTTTCAAAATAAATATAACTTTTTTTTAACTTCTGAGTTATTTTAAGACCATTCATGTTATTATTATTATTATTATTACAAAATATTGGTACATGTTATAATTTATAAATAATTTTTTGTTAACATTATGATATCAATTTAATGTCTCCCTCACTTGTATGCTATAAACCCTTTCATCTGGCCTTAAACCCTCCTCCTGTGCATCCCATTTCGTGTTGTTCTTGTTCAATGGCACGCTTAATTCGTTCCCTCAGAAAAACCCTAACCCTAACACATCAATTTCACCATCAACAGCAACAACTATGCATTTCTCGGCACCTATTCCGAAGAAGTTACATATCAGAGATGCGCAAATTAGCTTTCGAGGGTAACATTTTGAGACTACTCCGCAACGAGATTCAGTACGAACTCCAAACCTCTCCTCCCAACAACGTAAGTTTTCTTTTCTCCTTTCCCTGTAACTTCTGCTTACAAATAAGGTTTCAGAGCTTCAAAATGATTAGACAAACCACCTGTTGCGGTTTCCTTAGCGGTCCATGTTTTGTATCAAGAGAGTTCTAGAAACATACTTTCTAACACTCCTATCGAATACAATTTATTTGAAATTACGCTCGCTTGAGGTTCGTTACATAGAATTGGGGCTTATAACCTGTGATTTTTTGTTCAATAAATTTCAATTTGTAATGTTGTGTGTTCAATAGAGTGTATTAAAGAGTAATTTGTTAGCATTTTGTTTTTTGTATCAATTGAGCTGCTATGTATTGTTGTTTAGAACATGAATTTTGTTGTACAGCCTGTTGCGAAGTTTAATTCCTTTATGGTGGATGGGCGACCTGGGGAGAGGTGGATTACTTTGAAAAGACAATATGCCGATGAAGACATTAAACTTGAAGTCACCATGTTTGATGGGGCTGTTCCTGCTCCAACTCCAACTCCAAACGGTGGTGTAACTAATTCTGATGAAATGCAGATGCACATAACTGTAATTGTGAGTATCTCCAAGGGAGAAGATGGTGGTGTTTTGCAAATTGTGTGTTCTGCTTGGCCTAACAATGTAGAGATAAAAAGGCTGTTCATACGTGCAGATGAGAAGATAATAGCTGAGCCCTATACTGGTCCGGAATTCACGTAGGTTTACTTGCTCATTTCCACTTGCAGCTGTTTGCTTAGAATTTTGCACGTCTAGATTTGGAATTTTGTTAGCAACATCTTTTCTGTTGGTTCTTGTCAGGGATTTGGATGATTCGTTGCAAGACGGGCTTTATGATTTTTTGGAAGTAAGAGGCATAAATGATGAACTTGCTGTTTTCTTGCATCAGTACATGAAACACAAGGATAAAACGGAGGTTGTAAGATGGATGGAAAGGGTCAAGTCTTTTATTGAAAGGAAATAAGGGCATTCAAATTAATGTCCTGGACTAATAATCTATTAAATCACTTCTCCTGTATTTTTTTTGTCACTGAAGTGTGAATCTAAGCAGGTACACATCTTTGGTTTTTGGTTGACTTTGGCTTTAAATTTGTAGTTAGCGTTGGTGGACATTGTACTGGAGAGATTGGAAATGGCTGTATTGTATTTGTGGTTTTTGCTCCGAATCCTCTTCCCCAGAAGAAAAGGTGGCACACATAAGATAGCCAATTTGTCAAACTCTTAAACTCAGCTGGCTGAAACACAGTTCTCTGATCCGACTGGCTTCTCTGTTGGTGTGATTTCGATAAAATTTATGATAAAATTAGCAACCAACGAGATTGGTTTAAATGATTACAGTAATGCATAAAAGCTCTCTGATGAAATGATTTTTTTATTCATTTTAAAGAAATAGTTTGCGTTTTTTAATCTCTTGAAAATGAAAGCATATAATGTTCAAGTTACTAGAAGTTAACTAAGCCAGAATAAGTGATAAAGAAAACTTGAATCGTGTGGCTTTTTGATGAATAGATTATATGCTGCAAGATATCAGTCTTTGCTATAAATTAAGGCACATAGAACGAGTAGTTGGAATTTAAATGAAAAGCATGGACAGTTTGAATTCGTAAAAAATGATCTTTTGTAAAAAGCGACAATTTTGAATTTGTCACCGGCTGATACATATACTATTGGATGTCATGTTAAATGGTTACTTAACCATCAATCAAAACTTTATCATTTTTTTAATACTAAGATTGAAAGTCAAAATTATCAAAGAAAAAGGTTCTGGAAAGACTGCATTCATTTTATAATTTTAAAAATACATTTAACTTCAAAAATTGGTTTACAGGAGCACAAGGATTTTTACATTATTGAACTCTAAATAGATTAAATATGCGGACCTTATTTTCGACGTATTTTGTTGTCACAATACGGTATTGTTAAACCATGCAATTTGCCTTGTATGATAACGTTGCGTGTTTGTTTAGAGGTGTAGAAGTGATGAAGATCTAACTTGTTTAGGTGAAAGGGAAATAAATTGCATAAGAATTGTTGAAATCTATTGTTTGATATGCTCCTAATCTGATAAAGGGCATACATACAAACACTGATACCAAACCAAAGTAAAAGTAGAATAATAAGAATAGAAAGGACAAACAAGCTTCAGTAGCCTAGTTGAGATGGTGACGTTAATACAACTTTCATAGCCTATCTTTTATTAAAGATGAAGACAGGCAATCTCAAATTTAATAATCAAATAAGATCTTCATGAACAAGAAGCAAATTTAGGTTCAGAATTTCATCTACACGTGTTGCGTTGGATTTGTTCATTTGTGTTTCTTTCTTGGTTGGGAGGCAAAACTAAAGGTTCTCAATATTTTATTGGACGAATGGTGAAGAGTGAGGTATGCCACCACAAGTAAAATAGACAGCACAACCGAAGTGCAAGATCAGGAAGAAGAAAGCCAAAACTCAGAATCCACGTTTGGAAGCATCTCAGATCCTATAGAGCATAATAGATTATGGTATATAATATATCCTTTGTTAGCGTGAGATTACTATGATCATTAACTGTCATAATGACTAGACTTTCAGCTGCTTTTTCTCCTTAATTTCGTCATAGTACTTGTGTTTCATGATTAAAACGAGATTAGTGTAAACATCAGGCGGATATGGACCTACAAATTTGTTTGTCCCTTCAGATATCTTTAGGTAAGAAATCAGGAGAATCAAGATTCAAGATTTTAATCAATAACATTTCCTTTTGAAATGATGTGATAGCAGAGCTGAGTGTCATTTTGGCTTACTTTCACATGGCTTGCCTCACCTACTTCTCTGATCCCAATAGAGATGGTCGATTTCTCCAACTACAGGTGGGTCAAAGTAGGAGTCAGTGAGACAATCACAGCCTTTGAAACTGTTCATTTTGGTGGACCAATCTTCCATAGGAATTGAAAAAACGACACTCACTACCATCCAAATTTCTGCACAGTGTGGACCTTTGTCACCCAACATGTGAGACATATGTGCCCTGATCCAAACAGTTCCAGGTTGACATTTACTGCATTGTCAAATAATAAGGGAACTCCAATAACTACATGGTACTAGAGTTCTTTAATTCATGGAGTAGAAGATTCCAAGTATCTCGTAGTGGGATAGGAAGTAAATAACTAAGTAGAAGCTTGACCAAAACATAGTTAATGTATCAGTAGCCTAGTGAAATAAGGTCTACCTGCTTTTATACAATTGAACTGACTTATGTTCTTGGACGAATCAAACACATGCAGATCTATCAACCTTTTTAATTTTCAAATCACTTATTGAATAACTCAAAGCAGTGAGGACCTAACTTCCCTACCTCTCAAGAATTGGAGAACAAAAGAGGGTTTGATGTTCTCATGCTATTACGAAGCAATTTAAAGCTTGATCGAAGTTTTAACTTGGAAATAAATCCATCCATGTAGAACCATTATTCATGACTGAGAAAATAAAGCAAACAACATTAAAAGCAGAACACAAGCTCTGGTAAGTAGCCAAAATGCATTTAGACTTGCTGGAGCAAGAGATACAAGAGGACAAAAGAAGTGAAAAAGGAAAGAGGTGTCAAAAGCTGTTGGACAATGAGAAAAGTCACAAATAAACTGGGGTATGGCATGTTGGATAGTAACTAATTAGAGCTTAAGGGACAAGTCAAGCTTCTGCAACTTCTCTTGTTTGGACTTCAAATGAGTAATGCTACCAAAGCAGTAACCTCCAAACCCCTCTGTCACCAGCCTTGTGGAAAACTTGCCTAACTTTGGAACACCATCAGCCAACGATGACTCAGTTTCTGCCCCCACACGAAAATTCCCAATTGCTGGTTGTGATTCCAAAGGCTGCCTCTGCCACCCATTGGTACGGCACAACCCGAAAAAGGGTGTTTGATGAGACGGTTTGTTAATCATAGCATGAACCTGAATTCCAAGTGATCTGTTGTACAAGCCATGTGAAGGAAGAAAAGGCACGTTGTTGTACGTGTGTCCAAAATCTGCTGCACCTGCTTTGTATCCTCTTCTTGCCAAAGTTCTTTCACGTTTGTGTGCATTCTGGTGTCCCCCAAGAGCCTGAGAACTATAAAACTTTCTTTGGCAGTAGTTGCATGAGAAAACCCGGGGATCCAGTTCAGTTCCCTGACTAGATTCTGATGAATTCTCAGAGAAATTCGTATGGAAACAATTGAGAAGGTTGAGTTCTGGCTTTGAGTCATCATCACCTGAATCCTTGTTGGAGAGACCAAGATCTAGTAAAACACAAGGATTTGTGTCATGTGGGTGTTTTTGATCATCACTCTGTGTGTGATTCCTCGTTGTTTGAGTGTCTATGGAAGATTTTTGGCATGACACAGTATCTGAAAATGTGATGATGTTCAAGTTTTCAGAAGGGCATGGCTCTTGCCTTTGAAGATCCATGTGGCAAGAAATTTGCAACAATTGCCTTAGTGGTGGTGTTGGTTACAGAAGTTTGGTTTAACAGGAAGAACAAGAAAGATGGAGTTTGTGAATGATGTAAGAACAATAAATGCTGTGTGCTATGTATAGAAGTAGATAGCACTATTTTACAGTTACAAGGTCTTAATATAGCAAGACCTAAAAATTAAGACATGCCTTTATCTGTGTGTGCTTGATTGGAACATATGTAGAACACCCACGTACAACTTGCTAGTGCATACCCCATTGAACGTTTCTTTTTCATTTTTTTTTGGTAATTTTTATTTGTCTTCTCACTTGTCGCTTTAAATTTCTGGTCTCTGTATCTGCCTTTTATCAGTATATTCATGTCTATAGGTATGACGGGCTAAAAATCCAAGATAAGATCAATACCCTACTTTTAAAATTCTGAATAATGTGGTATTGTAGAATGGACTTGTCTTATAAAAGGTGTGGTATTCTGAATTTCTTAACCCTGTTGGTGGATTTGGAGTATCTTCCCTGAAACTCTTCTGTCTTTGTCCTGCATTATGCTTTCTTTATCTCCACCTAGGATATAGACTTGTCCACACTTTCAATTTTTTTAGCATGCGAATATTTGCACCTTACTTTTCAACTGCAAAACTTACATTTCTTTGATCCCTCTACAGTAATTGACTGCATTCTTAAAAGAAAACTAAATGCTATTAACTATTTACTCTTCTGTGTAATTTTCATTGTCATGAATCAATTATTCCAAACACTTATTTTGTTTCATTATTTCACAATCTTTCATGGACTAATTTCAAGATGCAATCATTGGAGGCCTTCTGTTTCCGAATTTGTTCACCATTCTTGAGACGAAGCCTATAAACATAGAAACAAGCCACAACCATAGATTTGAAGTGCTTTAAAGCCATGCAAGAAGAATATGCTGCTCTCATTGCCAATTACACCTGGACATTGCTGTCACCACTTCCCACTGTCGATGTAGTAGGTAGGGCCTACGTAGCTAAGGATGTGAAATGGTGTGCATTTCATGATTCAGCCTCAGTTTATACCATTTCAATTCAACAAAAAGAATTATACAAGAAAAATTTCTGAATGGTCAGAATGTGATGATGGACTTTCGAAATAATTGGAGTGGCTCCATGCTTTTAAATTGTAGTAGGCTGCAATTTTAGAAGTATCCACAATGTATGTGATGATGTGCATTTTCTCATATTTTTCTTTAATCTCAACAATTGCAAACTACTTCAACTACCACTTCATTCTAAAACCAGCTTTCAACAAAAGGCATGTCAAAATATAAGAAATTTTTAGAATGTAATTAATTTTATAGAAAATTTGACAAATAAGACAACTAAATTTCACTGGCTAGTTTTTCTATTCTAGGATTGCTTCGAAAGATTATCATAATGAACACCCAGAGATTCATACAATAGGGGTAACATAGCAATAATAGCTTGATCCCTTAAATTTAACAATTGACTACTTTTTAAGTAATATTCACCAGAAAATTGTAAGTTAAAAACTCAGAACAAGCATAAATAAGAATTTGGCTATTTCCTTTTACAAAAAATCAATAATTTCATAATGTCTGTCATGTTGTAGCCAGACAAAGGTCTTTGGCATGTCAAACTTCCTCTTATGCTGCTGCATGGTGATATCTTTGTCAGCATTCTGTGTTATATTTTTGTTTCCTTTTCTTTTTGCAATGTTCTTTCTCATAATGTTTACTTCAGATTTTCTTTTTAACGTATATATCAGTAAACTCATAATAAACTGCATCATAACAGTAAACTTTCAATATTGAATATTGATAATAAATATAATAAACAAAGGCTAGTTAATATACACAAACTTGGTATAGAAAAGTATATAAGATAAAAGCTCGTGCCACCAGGGATAAAATAATTTGTGACACAGAGAAAAATTAATGCTGTAAAAAATAGAAAATGTTATGTAAATATGTTATATGAAAAATATGACTCGATTCTAGTGTACTTTTGAAGTTTCAACATGTACTTTTGAGGTTTCAACTCCAATATGACGAAGCTTTTTACTTACAGAGATCTCATAGTTGATATATATGTAGGTAGCTTTTACTTACAGAGATCTTGTAGTTGATACGACATCATAAACTATGGTCCCTAGCTAGTAATTATCTGAAGAAATTGCCTTTTCATAGTTGGGTATGTGTCATTTCTCGTTTGTGTTTTAGTTAAGATGATGATGCTTTGTTTAAGCACTTAATAATTGAAGCCTATTCTGGGAATTTCAGATGGCAGTTTCCTTTCTTCGACAAGCGTGACAGAAAAATTGCCATAAAGAGGCAACCAATCAAACTTTCCCTCCTACTATGCCATGCCTGCTTCTACCATTTTTCTTCTTAACGTGTCACCATTCCACACAACACTCCATTTTCCAAACCACACTCACACTCCATCTCGTTTAGTTTTGCTGACAGTAACATCATGCATGTCAGGTTATTTTGTTTCTTATATCAATTTTTAAAGTTCAACTAAGAAACATATGTTATTGAACTAATATGTTAATGATATAAAGAAGACCAATTAAATTCTTTGGCATAAATTAATCATGGATAAATTTATTAAATATTTTGCAACTGTGTAACGGTGAAAAAATAATTGCTGCAAGAGAGCTGAAAATTTGTTCAGAAGTGTATTATTAATTAGCTAGCTAGGCACCTAAGGTGACAGTTGAATATGACATGGCAAATAATGTTAGGTAAGTTTCTATGATGATAAAACTATAGACTGTTACAGATGTTGTCTTGTAGCAGATCTTGATATGAAGGCTTGGCATGAATGAGGCAATGATTAATCTCTAATTAACCATCGTTAAGCACCAAGGAAAACTGATAATGATCTATCTAATCTAATGCTGCAATGGTATGAAAATGAGGTCCCCCTGCTCCCCCTTGAAGCTCTTGCAACCTTTCCCTTTCCCGAGGGTTGGAGCCTTTTTTGCTTGCAACCTCATTTTATTGTGATGGTGACAACAACCAACACAAAGTGTTGTACACAAGCAACTGAGGCCGCACGGTTGGCTTGCAGAAACACATGCTGTGATACCTAGCAAAGAATTCTTTGACATTTGATGGGTAAGTATTAACTTTTGAGATTGTTTAACTCTTTTGCTTGTGCTCACTTTGGCTTGGAATCAAATGCTTGACAAGAAAGGATGGTGACAAGAAAAAAGGGTATCTCCTGTGTCTGCATCATATAGAAAATGCATAATGGGGTTAAACATAACATTCATATCTTATTTTTGTAACCATTGTTTTTATCTTATGACTATAAAATCAACAATGTCCTAGATGAAACGTTGATTTTAATGGTACAACTTCTTCTACACCAATTTCTTTAGTTTTGTTTTTCTACACATGCAGATGAATTCTTATATTTATTGTACTTTTGTGCTGTGGTTAGTTTGGTAGGATATTGTTGAGAGAGGGTCTTAATTAGTAGATTCTTTTGAAGGATAAATCTGATTGGAAACTGTGAGTTGGGTTCCTTATTTTGTCGTGTTGTACTTTGTTTTTGGTCAACTGTCGTGTTGCACATAGCCGTGGAGAATGTGACATGTGGCCTATAAGCAGATGTTGAACTGATTAATACGGTGTAAGGAGGAAGATTTAAAGTTCAGTGAGATGTGTCATGTGTCGTACAATTTATTAATATTTTCTTTTTTATCTTTACTTTTCTATCATATTTTATCTGCTTAACATATATACACCCTTTTTTATTTCTCCAACTATCATTTCAATTACAGTTTGTTTGGTACTGTGAAGGAGGGAGGTGGAGGAAATAACACAGAAGATATCAGAAAAGATTAACTGGTTTGGTTAGAATGAGCTGTAACATAAAAGAATGGATCACATAATCATCATAATGATAAATTAACCAAAACGCTTTGCTAACTCTATTTAATCTTAATGGTTTGAAAAGCATTAGATGGTGCATTTAAATATTAAAATAATAGTTATGCACAATCTTACTGAACAGAACTTGAGACAAGTGTAAATGTGATTTACTCACTTTATGGTAAGAAGAAAGAGTGATTAGTGTGAAAGAATAATTAGATGATGGATATTCATAGTTGGTGATCGAAGTCAAGGGAACATGAAAATATTGATTGATATGTTGGGAGATAAAGGCGAAATAAGATAAGTATTGAGTTGGTGTTAAAATTTTCTGCTTTGTACTATTGTGCTTGCTGGGTCGAATTTGACTCAAAATCCCTTTACAAGATCTTCATGCTTGTTGTACATTCAGTGTGTATCAATGTTCTAAAAGTAACATAGACTCATGAATTTGTCCATTACCAACCCATCGTGCCAACACCAGAACATCTAACGATAACTCAAACATCACCACTTATTTCCACTACCACGCAAATCACATCACCATTTGCTTCCATGAAGTGTTAATCTGAATATGACAGAAGAGATATGCAAACACACGTGTCTATCACTCATTCCTAGCCATATTGCTACTGAGATGCTAAGATCATAATACGGAGTGGAGAAAGTTAGGTCAAAAGTAGAGGCAAAGTAGCTTCACTGCTGTTTCAATTTCAAACTCAATTGTGCCACTTCTTCAGTCAAGCCTTTTTTGTAACTTTGAATGTGAGGGCATATGTTCTTTGCTTTTCACAACTTTGATTGGGATCTGTGCCGAACATATTCATGATCATAAAATTCAAATGAATAATAATAACAAGCTATACATACGGAAGAATTTCTCATTTAGATTTGTTAATGATATTGAATGAAAGTAATATGTGTGGGTTGGAGGAGGAGATGTATATATATTTTCCATGGATGATAGGAAGGACTTGTTGATCTGTAACTGTCTCATTGTCATGTTTGTCTCTAAAACTAAGGGGATGAACAAATCCTTTAAGGTTTTGAAAACTTTATTTGAATTCCTAAAATTAAGGAAAAATTAACTCTATCTCTCTAATTTCAAAGTAGAGATTTGTTCTTTTCAATATTTTTAATACAATGAATTCACACAAATCCTATAAATTTTAAACAAGCATTTTTCTCTCATATTTTTAATAAATGACTCTCATCTTATATTTTTGATAAATTATTACTCACTTGACTTTGATTATTTTATTTATAAATAAAAAATATATATTTATAAAAGATTCCTTTAGTGTCATTTTATTGAAAATAAAAACATGAGTGTAATTTTATTGAAAATAAAAAGATGAGTATAATTTATTAAAAGCATAAAAATTATGAATGTATATTTCAAAAGTAAAGGGATGTGAATGTTATTTTACTAAAAACTAAAGAACATGGGTGTTATTTTATCATAATGAGGTATTTTGGAAATATGAAAAGAATGGAAGTTATGAAGGAAAAAAAAGTGCAAACAAAATCACAGTAGTTTAATTTCCATCCATAAGTAACCTGAAATCCTAATTTAATGTTTAACATGTTTGGATTTGGCCTATGAATATTATGCAGCTTGTTTCGAGTATAAACATGCAGCGTGCAAAAGACAGTGTTTGAAGCGTTCTTCGTGTAGATATCCAATTAATCATCTAGCTCTGTTCATTGCTTCTGGCTAGTTTATATCACATTTAGAACAATAATCAAATTTGTCACAACAGTGTTGACATCGCCTTTCTTTTTTATTCCACAAACAGACACACACACACAGAGTAAATGGGAACCGAGAACTAGAACACTAGAAATTTTCTGATCTTTACTTGGTATTGCTTTTCTGATACATGGATGAACAATGGAATAAAAAATAGACTAGTTGAAAAAATGTGTTTCAGCATGGCACGAGATACTAAGCTCAATACACAAAAGAACATACAAGAGTTTACAAAAGACAAGCACCCAACAAAAGCAACAGCTTCACTTGGATAGCCAGTAGATGAAAATGAGAAATGTGCATACGGCTGCAACAAGGGAGAGTATAATGGTATCCATTGACTTTTTCCTCTTTATTGCCGAAAGGATGTTATTTACCTGCAACATTATTAAAAACTGCTACATTAAACACCAGAATTTCAAACATCATCCATGCAGGGCGTCCCAAAAATTTTAGAATCAAAAGGTGGTTTCAAACATTCTCTCTCATGCGTAAATTAACATCCTTTATTCAGTGCCCCTTTTTTTGAACTATTTATTCAATCTCACAAGACATGCAGGATGGATATGGACAACAGGAAATTATTAAAACGCCAATGCCCATGATGATGGGAATCATACCGTTGGAAGACGACTGCTCATGTTGCCAAGCTTCAAATTGATACCGCCAAATGTTGATCGTTGGAAGACAAGTGCTCCTAATGTTGCTTGTGCTTGTGATATAACATTGTCCATCTGCAGTACAAAAATAGACAGAACAATACAAAATAAGATTAGTCCAATTGGACATCAGATATAATTTTAAAGGAAAAATCTGAGGCTTCTCGGAAAAGCAGTTCTTTGCAGTTGTTGTATCCCTAGTACAGGGCATGTTATTTAGCATTTCTTGCATACGAAATTCCAATAAACACTAATGTTTTTGTTCTAACATTTAAGTAACATTCATCCCCTCAAAGAAACATAATTTCAGAACAGCTTCTTCCAATGTAACACTTTAAACTCGAACTAACTACAATTCACCAACCCTCCTCCCTGTAAAAATCGTTAGTTCTGAAGTTTAATATAAACTGCTACACTAAGTAAGAGTTTCAACAAGGAATCAACCCAATTCTCATGGTTCAACTCCCTTCACCCTAGCATCAAATATTACTATCAAACGTCCGATGCATACATTACATGGTAATTTTATTTTTAAGAAATTTAGATATATAAATTGAAAGAAAAATATGTTAAAGGGAAAATATCACCATAGTATTTAGGAATGAACTAATGAGATGAAAAATTTGACATAGAGTAAATTATGAAAATAAATATTATGAATCAATTATTAAATTTATATGAAGTGTCAAAATTCAAATTTCTGAACTCCAAATTTAAATATATGTAAATTTTGGCATTAACAACCAGATAAATTATTGCTAAATTTGAGCAATAAAACTTGAGAAAAATAAATGAAAAAAAAAACTGAAACTCATGATATGGGAAAGCCATGTTGCTCAAAGAGACAGAGTACACTAAGAAAACTAGCTAGGATTGTAATTGAATAGACAGGGGTTGGTTATAATATTTCCTAAAGCTTGAGAGGCCAATGCAAAATCTGTTATGCTTACATGTGACTTTTAAGTTCAAATGCCCCTGATCCAGCTAAAGAAAAATTATAGAATATACAAATCAGATGCATTGTAGGAAAAAAAGAGGTTGATATGTAATAGTATAATATTATGCTGGCAATATCTGGATTGAGAAGAAAGAAAACAGCACTTTATATAAAAAAAGCAAAACAAGTGTTTTGTATCACTAACATGTCCTGTACTTCGGCTTATAGATGCACGCTCTTTTAGGAGTGCATGTTGTTCAGTGTCTACACCCTGTTCCAAATCTAATCTTGACCGATCAAATTCTTTAAAATCTTCTAGCAGTGAAGCATGTTCTTGCTTAGAACGAAGACTAGTACGAAGACGATAAAATTCCTGCAGTTCAATTACATCCAAGCTTAGTGCAAAAAGTTATAAGGTTTGAAGAAATAAAGTAATCAATAAAAACAAAAAACAAATAAAACATTACAAAGGTAAAATTATATCAAAGATCTAAGAGCAAATTATGGAAATAATATATAATGACTTTGAAAATTTGTACCAAGCATCACTGTACATAAAATATGTAGAAAAAAAAATTGGGATACAACATAGGGAGGGGGATAATAGTAGCATTGAATACTAGTAGATAAAATAAATATGAAAAATAGTATACAATTCAATCATAATTCACAACTTTATGGTACTATCAAGATATAATGTCGATGACAGTTAACAGCAGTTTGTCATAACTTTTGCCAATGAAAGAAGGATTGTTTCTACACAAAATCTTATAAATTAAATTGGGAAAAAGTTCCTTTAATTTACTTGCCCTTGGTGGAAGTGAAGAAATTGGACATATTTTATCTAAAATACTTAGTTGTCAGAATAAATCATTAGTCTCAGGATATACACGAAAGGTCTATCCCTATTTGTATGCAGAAAGCAATTCAAAAGAATGAAAGCTCCATAACTGGCATAGGTTCACAGAAAATGATGTAGGATAACTCAAGCTTGGACTGTAGAATACCTGCGTGAGATCTTGAAGAATTTCTTGGTGTCTAGTCAAAGTATGAGAAACCATTTCCGAACCACCAGATGACACCCAAGCTTGCATCTGTGCATTTACTTGTTGGAGTTGTTTTAGTAATCGCTCAATCCAAGACTCTAGATCACTCTCTGAAGCATCACCTTTTGTAGAAACATTAGCAGAAACCAATTTACGATAGGAATTCATCTGCTCATCCAACTGAGCTTCAAGTTTTCTTGCCTGGAAAAGATTTGTATAAAAGTTATCAATCATTTGCCTAAGAAAACAAAAATTATTTTTAACTAGGTAGCCACAAAGGAAGAAAAAACAAAAAAATATCAAACTCCATTTCTTTTTCATTAATATCATCATTACTATGATGATTATGTTAGTATGATTAAGGAAGAGAAACCAAGTTGTTAACAGAATAAACAACACTTAAACCAGCAAACAAAATAGTTCAACTTTGAAGCAATACTTCCATGACCGGGGATCTAAATGTCCCTATATATATACATGAGTTGCAAGCTTAAAGTTGTAAAGTACTAACAACTAAAATCCCATAATATTATGTACAGTTATATCATACAAAACTATTTTTTCTCTCTATGTTACATCAACCATCTTATCTCACTTTCTTCACATCCAATCTCTCTCTTTATTTGTACAAATACAATTTCTCTATTGCATAAACTTTTTATCAGGACTCCAGCAAATAAACAGGCAAATACTGAGAAGCATATCTAAAATATACCAATTTTAACCATTAATGTAACGAAAGGTGAGAATTGTTATAACTTACAGCTTAATTATTTAGCATAGTTATCAACATCTAAGGATTCACAATTTGAATCATACGATTTGATGTGATTCATCTAGCTATCAATTTGTATCACGAGCTGAAGTTCAAATGTCTATGAATCCTATGATATATGATTGGATTGATACAATTTCACACTTTCGATATGAATCACACTTCAAAAAAATTCGCTATCCTTTCCTATTTTACTCTCCCTTCTGCGGTTCTCATGAAGGAAATTGAAAAGTCATATAAGCTTAAATTGATCAATGAAAAGGCATTGAAGAAACATTTCTAAGCGTGTTCTATTTGATTATTTGTCACTTTCTCATTCAATCCATGAACGTTAATTGGTTGTTACATTTCTTCATTTCCATTCTTCCAATATAGAGTCTTCACGATCTGATTTATAACTAATAATTAACTTTCTAAACAGTTTACATAGTTGTGCTCCTGTGTTGTAACAGCACAGAAATATCCCTACACCATCATCCATGATCACCTGGTTACCAACACAGAACATTCTGTTACAAGTTACAACAACCCTGATTAGGCAGGTACCTTCCAAAGATCTTCATCCAACCGAAACTCACACCGTGGATGTAAATCAGAATGCAAAAACCTCATTTCCGAAACAAATCAGATGTGTTTCTAACATATCAAATGAACCTAAATCTAGGGACAAAATTCTCATCTAAAGAATTGCTAGAATTCATAATTCAAATCCATCAATACACTGCCGAAAACCTGTAACTCAACAAATCAAACCAAGTTCAAAGCACAAATAGCAAAAGGGTAGAATCCCATCCCATGAATTCCCCATCACCGACAAAATGAAGAAACCCTATAAGGAAAAAATCGAAATTTAGAGCACTCGAATTATGCATGCCCATATCAACTGCATCATTTACAACACAAGAAGATGCATAATCTGGCAAAGAAAACATAAAAAGGAGAACAATTGGAACCTGCTTGCGAAGAGCATCCCAGGAACTTGGAACCTCCATGGATCAGAAAGTAAAGAAAGATCAAAATTTGAAAGTTGTTTTATTTTTTGATAGAATAATAGTGAATGTTGATGATGTTTTGAGGTTGTTTGGCGATGAAGACAGGTCGCCTGCTCGCGCGAGACAGACGACTTGAATTGCTTTCTTTCTCTTCCTCTTTCTGTTTAATGATTTATTTTTCTTTCCTTTTATTGTGTTTTTCTAACAACAGGGGCAAAAAAAAAGAAGAAGAAAGAAAACAAAAAATGACTTCGCTTTCTTTCTAATCCAGAATTTTAGATAGATCTGAATCCTTTCCTTCCTTATATAATGCGTGTGACGAGCAATGTTTATGGGGCCAAACAAAAAAACATTAAATATAAAGTATTTATATTGTTCTAGCTTTGAATACATTTGTTTTTAGAAAGTTCTGTTTATAAAATATAGCAAATTAAGAAATCTTGTTATTAATAATATAATAGTTTCTGAAAAGGTATAACTTTAAAAAAAATGTAATAGTTAGGTTCTCCTCTAACCTTTAAATATAAATATATATATATATATATATATTATTCTGTTTATCTAAAAATATATTTGAAAAAGGTAATTTGAAAATGAGCTCGGCATTGCACATACTTTGGATTATATTTTTAAAAATACATTTTAAAAAATTAATTTTGGAATATTTTTTAAAAAATTATCAAAATATATTAAAAAAAAATCAAGATGAGTTATGAATTATGTTTTTAATAATGATTTTTTTATTATATTTTCTAAAAATATATTTGGATTTCATATGTATTTAAGAATGAAGTATGAATTAATCTATAGAAATTATTTTTGGTTTATGTTTTATAAATGAATTTCGAATTTAATAATCTAAAATATTATAAATACAGATTAAATACGTTTTTTTTAGAATTTTAAGATATATTATATATTCAAAATATAAATCTTCAATTAATTTTAAAGTGAAAAATGAAACTTAAATAAAGGTTTATATATATATATATAATCCAAAAGAGAAAAGCTGGTTTTAAAAAAAAATTACGTTTAAAATATATTATTGAGAGTGTAAAAGAAATTATTAGGGCACACTATAATAATAATGGAACCAATTGAACCCAAATAGTATATAACTAAAATTCTTCTTAAAAAATAAATATATCGAACTTAGATTTTTAACAAGACAAAATTTGAATGTATTTTTTTAATGTTTTCTTCTTATTAAAATTTCATATTGATAATCTACACAACATAAATTTTATGCTAAATATAATATAAAATTCTGAAATGAAATTCTAACTCTAATTAGAACATAACTGAATTTGTTTTTTTTTATTAAATTACATTATTATATTCACAGTTAATTTTGAGCGAAGGGGATATGTGAAGAAACGTCTACAAGATATAAGATTAATGGTAAAGAGAACTTGTGAGTGGTTTTATTTTTCACTCATATACTAAAACATTTTAAAACATATAACATCAGAAACTTGTCTGAGGACAAAACAATGTAGTATTATTGAAACAAAAACAGCTACAGTAAACGCATGATGTAGTGCATGCAGAAAACAACACTGATTTTGTTTTGTCCTGGACATTAATTTTACATTACACACTGATGCATCTGAACACGGATCAATATATCTATCTAATCCAATATACGTGTTGCATGCACCAAACAGTGCTCAGTTCTGCATGGTTCCCTCCAACATTTATAAGTATGAATGCACAACTATCCGATGGGTGATTGAGCTGCTGCATGCATGAATGGTTGGTTAATCATGTGGTGAAGGTCCCAACAGTAGCAGGAGGTGAAATAGGTGGCTTTGTTGCCTCTTCCTCAGGCAGCTTGACCACAGTGTAGGCACCAGCCCCACAGAGAGTTCCAAATATGGGAGCAATGAGATACACCCATATGCCCTTGTAGTTGTTTGCAGCAATGGCTGGACCCAATGTTCTAACAGGGTTCATTGAACTTCCAGTTGCTGGCCTTTAATTAGTCACCATAATTTATACATGAATGATAACAATTATTAAGCAAGCTCACACTATTATACCAAGGAATATTATTTTTCACCCAACACTTGCCTCTATTTCACACTCACGCACACTATTCCATTCCTTCTTATCTCTACTTACCCTCTAATTCAATTCAAAGGGGACCATGACCATGTTTCTTTATAAAAATAACACATGCTTGATTCTCTTCTCAATTTGGTTTTAAAAATTGTTTTCAAAATAATAAGTTGGGACATATACCCGGCTATTAGTATGTTGAGCATCACCGTGGCTCCCACCGCGATTCCCGCAAGCTCTCCCACCTGCACCATAATATTAACAACCCTAATTATTAAACCCTGTGCTTAAGTCTCCTTCAAACAAATTATGTTTAATTTTGTATCAGTTTAACTTATCCAGATTCTAAAATCCTTCTACTGGTGTTAGTTAACTTGCAGGTTTAAACGAAGTATATTTCACTGCAAAATCTGAAGTGTTGATGTTTTAACATTTTTTGGTGGTACAAAGCAACAGAAACTGCTGATATGTATTTCTTTTTCATTAATATCTTTACTATATGCCAACCATGGCCTTTCCTGAAGCATTGGTTTAAGTGGTACCAAGAAAAGGGAATCTACCTAAAAGAAACTCCTTTGGCATTTGACTCTATCTCTATTTACAGCAATCACACCAAATATTTGTTTAACTATGGAAGTGGAGTGGAAACTTATAGAGGTCAGCAAGAATATCAAATAAATATCTTTCTGCACGAATTACAATTAACACAATTCCTCTTGTGTTACTATATAATAAGAAAAAAAAAATCATACACACACATACACATACACACACACACACACATATATATATATATATATATATATATGCAATGTTTTTGTCGTTTGTGTTCTATTTTATACAAAAAGTTCTATTCACACACCAAAAAAAAAAAAGAGAGGAAAAAATATGTATAATAAGGTGAGTGATATGTAAATATATAAAAGAAATAAAATACATGCAAAAATTATTGTAAAATTTTTGCATATGAAATGATATTGGTCTTGTGAAAATATCGATGCTCCGTTTTATTTATGTTTTGTTTATGTTACATGCACGAATATCATGAGCTTCATGGATCTAGGAAGAGGGAGACAACGTGAAATTATTGTCATTAAATATAGTATTTCCATTGACTTATGTCCTTTGAAGCTTTTGCATGAATAATTAATTAAATAAACCCCATCATCTGATCTGACAGATACACATCCTAATATTAAACGTTCAAAACCATAGAAAACAAAGAAATAGACAAAAACGTTCGTTGGAGTTTATCACTTATCCCCTATTCTCTTCCATTGTTTCACGTAATTAATTAAGCTTTGTCGATCTCAAAAAACATCGTTTTCATATACTTCTTCAACTGATTGGGTTTAGTTGCTTATCAGACTGAGTGGCTGATAGAATAAGATACTCACAGCTCTTGTGTCGGTGGCCACTGCAGTGACAACGAACATGAGAATAAAGCTGACAATGAACTCTGTGGCGAAAGCTTGCCCATATCCTACTGAAGGGACCGTCACTCCACCGCTCATGAAGGGATGAAAAACCGCCTTCAGAGCAAATGCAGCACTTACTGATGCCAAAATTTGTGTGCCAATATACACTGGTACCTGCAATTCATTTTATCAGAAAAAGAAGTAAAAATCAGAGCAAGAAATATATAATTTTATATGCAGTCTTTTGATACAAGGACAGTACCAAAAATATACCACCTGTAGTTTAATCTGTTAAAAAAAATAGAGGGAGATTAAGGTTTAATTTTTAGTTACATTCTTCCACGGGAAGTGCTTTAATGCAGCGAAGGAAATGGTGACAGCGGGGTTGAGATGAGCCCCAGATATGTGACCTGTGGAGAATATGATGATCATGACAGCAAGTCCATTTGCTGCAGCACATCCGATTAGAGTCTCTGAGCCATGTGTCTTTTGGTTCACAATAGCAGTGCCTATGGCCGCAAACATGAGAATGAACGTGCCAATAAACTCAGCTCCAACCTGGTTTAATTTGGAATCAACCCAACAACAATATTAAGTAACATCTTCAGGAAAAAGGGGTTCTCACTTTCACATAAAACTCTTTAATTTGATTCATTTTGCTATGAAAAGGAACTTAGCTTAGTGCAAAATTGATGTTGCTATTATGATGTACCTTTTTAGCGAGAGGGATGGGCTGGGCTGGTAAAGAGCAAGAGACTCTAGGCATGGCTCCATCTTCCAAGGTCCATTCTTCAACACTGAAACATTTGCAACTTTTGAGGAAGGACGGTTTCCTAATAACCCCATTAGGTTTCTCAAACCTGAGCCCACCAAAAAGAGGAGCACCTGGAGTCCCTGGAGTTGCAGGTGTGGATGGTGCTGAGGGGACTTCCTCGTTATCCATTTCCTCTCTCTAAGAAGTAAATACCTGAAACAAAGCACAGGGTAGACAGATAAGACAAGAAAAAAGAGAACAGAATAGAGAGAGAGAGAGAGAGAGGAAGAGAAAGTACCCTCGAGATTTATGTTAGTTTTTGTCTTTAGATTGGGGTGAGGATGCATAGAGTGTGAGGTACATATTATATAGGGGGAGTGTAGTTGACTAGAGAATCGGAATGGAAAGAATAAGAAAAGACACGAGTGGTTGAAACTGGCAGGTACAAAGGAAAATGCCAGGTAGCTGTTGCGTATGGAAGTGGTGGTAGGATTAATGCAGTATGGGTTTTGGAAAGAGGCCCTAAACGTCAGACATCAATCATATGTTTACATATGTACCACTGAATGTGCCTCCAGTTTTTTCTTTTTTTCTATTACCATGGCCATTTCTTTTGGGCCATCCTTTTTCTCTGTACCTTCCGGCACTGTCACAGATGCACTTGTCTCAGCAATCATCAGAAACGAATTGAAACTCTGAGAAATGTTTCTTGTCTGTACCACAGCATGTTATAATGTTATGCATTTAGTAATTAAACACATGATGACTTTCTGCATATTGCATGTGGTTGGATATACTGTTTATGTTGAGCATCCAATAGTAGGTCAATATAAGTTTTCCTCCCCCTCTTACTAGGGAGAAGAAAAACACACTTCTACTTTAGACCATGTTAATATTATCATATTCCGAATGTTTGGCTACTTAAAATCTTGATATATCATTTGTTTTGTTAATAGACAGACTTGTGTTTTACGACAGAGAAATGAACTTAATAGGATGAGGCAAAATTTAAAGCTGGTTTTACTCACACTCACACAAAAGCGAAGCTGTTTTTTTTTTTTTTTTTCTAAATATGACATTATCAAAATTAGTTAACCATCCTCCCAAATCCATCTCGTAATTTATATAGAAGATTAATGACTGAGACACTCAATAGCATCATATTACAAAAAGGAGAAAAATATAAATATAATAAGTAATATAATGTGTGAAATAAATAATCCAAATTGTATAGGTAAAGTTATACACGAATTTAAAAAGTTGTTAAAATTAATTAATTTTAATATACCAAGTTAGTGAATATTTTAATCACTACATAATAAAATTGGTTGTATTTTTATGCATTCACCAGTTAAAATAAATCTTGTTTTACCCATCATCAAAACATGTTTACATGTTACATGTTTATATTTATGAAATTTATTTTTGAACTTCTGTTTATATTTATGAAATTTATTTTTGAATTGAAGTTCTAGAAGGTATTTTGGATTAGATGTTTTGAAATATATTTTAAAAATAGCCTATTAGAACATATATTTCAAAATATTAAATTTGGAATAGATTTTTATATTAAATTTTTTGGATTCTTATACTCATTTTTAGTTCAATTTTGATTAGGGATGGCAAAATGGGCGACTCGCTCGTTTTAGCCGCCACGCTTTGGCCTGCCAAAGCGGCGAGTGAGCTTACCGATATAGTCATGACGATCTGTAGACCTACTGGCATGCGCTCGCCATGAGGCAGGCTGTTACCGCCATAATTTAGAAAAAAATAATTTTTTTAAATAAATTTAATAATAAGATTATTATTTGTTTGTCAATAATTCAATATATATATATATATATATATATTATTTTAATTTAATAATATAAATCAATACATTATTTTAAGAAATTATAATTTAGAACAATAATAAAATTTACATAATAATAAATAATAACAAATATATATATATATATAAATAACGTTAAACTTATAAAATTTATATTTTTTATATTGAAAAATTCAAATAACTATATCTTTTTTATTTGATAAAACTTCATATTATTCTTGGTTGAGTAATTCTTACACCGTTAATTCAAGTAATAAGGATAAAAATAATCAGTGTTTAGGATAAATAAGGAGAACAAGAGAGAATGTTATATTTCGGGAAGGAGAATATTTTATGTGAGAATGAAACTTTTTTAATTCTCTTTTTAAATTTTTTAACTTAATATATTATCTTTATAATTAATTTTATTACAATAAAAAATTATTTTTTTATTAATTAGGCGGGCTGCGGCTGGCCCGCCCGTCCCACGGGTTGGCCCGACAGGTTGGCGAGCTTGGTGGGGCGGGCCAAAGCGGGCTGGTGGGCTGAAAACATCAACCCGCCCCGCCATATTATGGCGGGCTGGCGGGCTGGCGGGCCGGCGGGCCGGGCCTAGCCCGTTTTGCCATCCCTAATTTTGACGTAATAAGTACAAAATATTAATAATTTTTTACCTTATTAACGGAAAACAATCTTCAATAGAAATGAAACATCAACAAGATGAATTTGCAAAAACTATGAATATGTGGAAGAGATAGGGAGGTATATACAAATGAAAAAGTAAATAAACAATTAGTAAAAAAGATTTTGATCATTTTACAAATATTATAAAGGTGAAAAAAAAATTATGAAAATATAAGAAGAAAGAGTCTTAAAATTTTGGACTAAAGTCTTTTGTTGTATTCAAAGGAGTGGGTACTTTCTTCCCGCACCCTGTAATTAAATTAAATCTTATTTTATTTTTACTCTTATTTTGGTGAATTCTCTAGACTTTTTTTCTAGAAACATGTTACAATTTTTTTTTCTGAAAAATAATTTTTAGAATGTGTTCTTGAAAAATTAATTTCAAAAATATATTATGATTTTTTTTTATTGTTTCTAAACAATATTTTTTGAAATATATTTTTAGATTGACTTTTCTAAAAATATATTATAAAATAAGTATTTTAGAATTTATTTTCGGAAAAATTAATTTAAAAATATATTAAGTATTTTAGAATTCATTCTGATTTTTATAAAATTAATTCGAATCAAGTAATTTGATTCTTAATATACAATTTCAATATAAGAACATATAATAAATTCATTATATTAACAATTACGCATGTTCAAAAACAATATTAAATATAAATGGTAACGCAAGAAACCAATTCTACAAACAAAACTGTCGCAGAAAAATACAAGATGGGATTAGAGTGTCAAACAAAATTAAAAAAAAAAGTATTTTAATTATTTTACTTTGAATATGGAGTTACATGCAGAAAGTAAGGTTTTACAGTAAGAAAGTGATTTACTTTTGGGCTTTAAGCCTTCTCAAATAAGCCCAATTGGCCCATTCATTTTCCATAGTCACGAGAAAATCCACTTTTGCAGACTTCGCAATATTCCAAAACTCTGACATGTGATGTGACAGACCCACAAGTCACAAACGTTAGGAATCACACACAGCGACATCCACGATTCACTTCTCTACAAATCATCATCAAATCAATCGTTGGCGTCGATTTGTACCTAGCATCTCCACATTCACTCGTCGTTGGCTTCAACCAATAACAAAAGAAGGGTCCTCATAGAACCCGTAGCGCCGACACAGATGATCATTTCTCACATCCAGCTAATTTTAATGTATTGTTAGTACCACTAGGGCTATCAATTTTCATTCTCACTCTCTGCTTTCACATTTTACTGTGCTGATCATTTCACTCTCCTAACTGTAAGTTAACTTCTTTTTCCTACCCATTTTGTTCAAAACACTTTCTTCCCTGACCTGATAATGCCGTAGAGATTTTTTTTTTGCGCTCGAAATGATGAAATTATATGTATGATTTGTCAAATGTCGTGGTTGTTTTTGTTTTTCCGAATTTTGTTGTTGCATGTATTAGGAGAAGCTTTTTTCGAGGATCTACCTGTTTGCTAGCGAATTTGTGATCGTTATTGTGTTCGATTAAGGGATTTTGGTGACACTGGTTTGTGATATTTCTAGTAAAATGTTAGTAACTCAATAAACGTCTGATAAAGTTAGAAAATTGGCAATCCAAACTCTGAAGCTGTAGATGATAGCTTGCGTGTCTGTCTGATATTCAAATGAAGTAGGATGATTAGAGTACAATCGCTGTATTGTATGAAGTTTCTCGAGTTAATCACAAATCTGTGTGGTTATCACTTCTGAGACCGAAAGGACGTGTTTGATTCCCTTCTCACTTTTTCATCTTAAAACTATTTGTTGAAAATAATTTTAAAACATTTTCTTTTTTAAATAATTGCTTAATTTTCTTGCGTTTCAGGGAGCTCTCTACCTGTCACGATCCCCTACCTCTCTCACTCCTCCGTCTCAGCAGCTAAAAGGCACATAAACTTAATTGATGGTTCGATTCTCAATTTAAGTTTTGAAACTTGTTTTTGAAAATGCAAAAAAACAGAAATAGCTGGGATATGTTTTCTCATCCCCTACTTCCATTTTCATCCATGTCCAATTAATGCCACACCTGATACCAAAGACCTTTTATATATTCAGCTTGTGAGTTTTGCTCCGGTGATTGATTTGTGGGATTTTTGTATCCTCTTTTTTTTTTTTTTTTTTCTTGGGTGATTCCTTATCATTTCCGCAAGATTCATCATTTTTCTGATTCAAAGGAAACATTTTTTTTTTCTTGGGGGTTATTCAGGGAGGTTGTCGTGGCTTTGCCATTGCCCTCATCAGATTGTACCATTGTGATTCGGTCATAATGTTTGTAAGGATGAAGGTTATTATTATATTGGCTATGAAAAACTTGCATATGTGGCAACGGGTGTGAGAAACATTGTAGTAAAGTAAGGAGGCTGCATGGGATAAGGGAAAAGGGGGCGAAATGAAAGGGATTGGAAATCGTTTGGTTTACTTTGGGTTGTTGTATTGGGTAGAGAAGAATACTTCTCTGCTATGTTGTTTTCTTTTACTCTACATTTTCATGGATGTTCTCTACAACTATTCGAACCTTGTTCTCCGAATTTCTTTGTAATTACTGTTGGAAAGCCGCCATATTTGAAGTTACTCTTGTCTGCCTATGTTGTGTTTGTGGCCTATTAAGGGGTTCCCTACATTGCAACCTCAAGGGTGGTGATTTAGTCCCACATAAACTAGTAACATGTCTAAAATAGAGAATATAACGTAGGTGCAAACCTGACCTTACAAAAGGTTGAGTTAAACCTAAAATCCAATTTTCTAAGTTGGTATCAGAACAGTGGTCATCACCCTATACTCTCCTGCTCTAGCGTTTTTGGAGTCTTTCTGGTTGTACTCATTTCATGAAGTTGTACTCATTTCGTGAAGATGTGATGGAGTTCCAAGGAAGACCGTTGTTTGCTTGTTTTACAGTAGTATTTTTTTTTTTTTTTTTCCTTTCTGTTATCTTATTTTTTCTGTGCAAATTATCATTTAATATGTTCCAAGCTTTTTACGCAAGGTATGCTTCGATGCTATTTGAAAATTTTCTCCCATCTAATTGGACACTTCCCGTCTTCCTGAACTGATTTTTGGTATTTGTAGGTAGAACTTCAATGGACTACAGCTCAGAAGAAGATTCAGATATAAGTGAATCTGAGATTTATGAGTACTCAGAGAAACCATATGAGCTATTAAGGGCAGGAGAATACAAGGTTAAAAATTTG